CGGAGGTGCTTTGACTGGTTGTGTATACTGGTTCCGTGCAATATCTACACAACGACAAAGCAAGACACCCCGTCCGTTCATCGAGATACTACAGTTACCCAATCGAAGGGATGTGTGTTGAGTGAAATATTTTTTCAGCAAATCAGTTCGAGTGTTGAGGGGACACCCAGGATGACACAACTGCTGTCCCATGATCGCTCTTCGGTGACGGTGCTCCCTCCCTTCTGATCCTTTCCCCGTTGCTCCCGGCTGGCTGGCCACCCGGCCCGGCTCTGCCTGCCATAAACACAGGGCGTGATCCAGCGGGCCTACAACGCGTACGCCGTGCGGGTTCAGGGGTTGGTCGACGGCAAGGACGGGAGCGGCAAGGAGGCGACTCCTCCCAGAGTCGTGCCCGCGCAGGAGACCTCGGAGGGGGTGCTGTGCATCGAGATGAGGATCCGGCTTTACCACGACGGGGCCATGAGCCAGCTCCTGGAGAGACTGTCAAGGGTAAGGTTGTGTCTTGTCTTGTCTTGTCTCGTCTGTTCTGTCTATCTCTTGTGTTTTTTCTGTCATGTCTGTCTGTCTGCCTATCTGTCTGTTATTGTTTGTTTGTCTTATCTGTCTGTCTGTCTGTCTGTCTGTCTGTGCGTATACACAGGACAAGGACAACCCGGCGATCCAGCTGCAGGGCCCCTTCATCATCAGGAAGCTCGTGCCACCGCCCGCCCACCGCAACGTCGTCATGATCGCCGCCGGCACCGGCGTCAATCCGAGTACGTCGCGTAGCCGCTTTTGCGTTGATGCAGGCAGTGTTTTGGTGGCCATTTTGTTTCTGGGTAAGGGCTGCTTCGTGATCAAAAAAATTGCAAGACAAGCCAGGGAAAGTGTCTGACATACTGCAGAACGGAGCCTTGAATGCCCTATTGTTTTGCGAGGGGCATGGTTCTTAATTTCTTGTGCGAAGGTAAAGTTATGCCAAGATGAACTATTCAGGTTTAGTGCAGGCCTGTTGGCTGAGCACCTTTTCTTGTAGTCAAGTTTCTTTTAGCCATGGGTGCTTTTTTTTTTTATCTAAATGCTCTTCACCCCCTTGTTGTGGTCGTGGCAGGCTCTGTGCTATGCAACATCCCGAAAAATGCCGACATTGTTTGTGTCTACTACGACCTTCACGGAGCCCCCCCCCCCCCCCCCCCCCCCCCCCCCCCCCCCCCCCCCCCCCCCCAC